ATACATCTTGCATACATGGAATAATGTGAAAAACAAATTCCAGAATGTGGGGCTTTCCAAGGTAATTAGCAGAATGTTGTCTTTGTACAGACTTGTTTATTATAGGAATGTATAATTACAGGAGGAAGAAAATGTGTATATAATAAACTTGCCTATCCCAGGCTCTTGTGCATCATATAGCCCATTTTAAGAATATTCACACGGACAGTATTGTTGCAAAGTTGATCATGTCTAATTTCTGGAATTTCTTCCCTCTTTGTTGATGCTATTGGATTCAGTTTCAGTTTCTCATTTTAAATTCATTCCAACTTATTTCCACATCAGTTTGCAGTAGTGTAAAAAAACTTGTATGCCACCTGACTCTCAACAACTCTGGACATTTTGTTCATTTTTCTCCTAGTATACACTTTTTGTGCATATTTTCCTTATTACATGCATTTTTCCCTAACTTACAATTATTTTTGAACTGCAAACTGTATCACAGAATTTTGAAAAGAGCAGATATAGATAAGGAACTCTGTTTTACTTCATTTATAGATCGAAGAACTGCAAATTGTGTAAGACTGTATTAAAGTCCAAACAATTCAGTCTTAATTGCCTATTACAGCTATGTAACAGTCCAGATCCGAAACAGAAATTGTGATTCAGATCACATGTAAGAATGCATGTTACATCTGTCAGCAACTCCTTAAAGAATCTGTACTTCTTCCTGGGTACATGCAGGACAAACTGAACTTTGTCTGGAGGAGTGCTGCCCTGGCTAGAGTCAGAGATACTGATCTCTGACTCTAGCCAGGGCAGCACTCCTCCAGACAAAGCTGGTGCACAACTTGGGGTTCTCATGGATTTGCAGCTCCTACTCAAGGAGCAGGTGGCAGCTGTGGCTAGGAGGGCCTTCATACAGATTTGTCTTATGTGCCAATTGCATCCATTCCTGGACTGGGAGGACTCAGTCATTCACATTCACATTCTGGTCACTTTCTAGTTGGACTGTTGTAATGGGGTCTACATGGCACTGCCCTCCATAAATTCCAACTGGTCGAGAATGCAGCAGCGCACGTAATTCTGGGCATTCCACAGTTTGCCTATATTACACTGCTACTGTGCAGACTGCACTGGCTTCCAGTTTCTGAGTCCAATTCAAGGTGCCGGTTACCGCCTTTAAAGCTGAATGGCATAGGGCCAGGTTATTTGCAAGACCACCTCTCCCAGAAAGTATCTGCCCATTCTACCAAGTCTGATTGGGTGGGTGTGCTCCAGGTCCCTTCCCTTAAATGCTGACACCTCATGGGACCCAGGAAATGTGCCTTCTTCATGGCAGCCCCTGCCCTGTGGAACACGCTTCCCCCGAGATCTGACAGAGCAGGTTCTTCCTGCAAGTGTGGGGGTAAAGTGAGGCTGGAGCCCAGTACAACTGAATGTGGATGTGTGGGGGGCAGTTGTCTTTGGGACACCAGGAGTTTTTGTTGTGGTTTTTATAGTTTTTAATGTTGTTCTGTGAGCCAACCAGGGTCATAGTCCAGAATATAAGGGGGGGAGGGGGCGGGAATATAAGTATTTTAAATAAGTAAATTAAATAATATCTCATGTTATTAGTGATGTTATTAGTGATTAGTGAAATTCCTTTTCCAAACAAGATTCACAGAATCTCTTAGCAACCTTTATTAAAAAGGGATGGAGTTACGAGAGTTCTAGCAGCTGAACTACTTCCCAGCACACAAGTAAAACTACCCCCAACACACATTAGGGCACAGCTGGCCTCATTTTCTTTTTTACTGTCTTTCTGTGAACTGATAAGGATTGACCTTACCACAGCTATGATGAGCACAATCATTTCTATCAACTAGTACTGTAGATTACAAAAACTGGATGCTGACTGAGCTTTACAATGAACCTTAACATTTATGAAAAGGTTTCTGTATTTCAAAGCAAATAGGAAGAGAGCAAAATATACATCTTTTAGAAGGGAGTTTCATAAATTTGAGCCTCCTTGGAAAGGCTCTGATGTGAAATTGCATCCATTAACAGAAAATAAAAATAAATTTTACTTCTAGTTATCGTTATTGAAACTAGTGTGTCAGATGAAAACTTTCTGATGCATTATAGTGTTCAGTGTAATGTCACTGTTTATTTAACTATGTATTGTCCTGAACAATAACATTATATTATTAAATTTAATCCACAGAACAAATAGTATTTGCAATGGGAAAGATCAGTATCTAAAAGACCTTGATTAATAAAACATACTGTACAGAAAAGAAGCCAAACTCCAGGAGATAATTTCAAATGAAGGCTCCCAAACTTAAAAGGCCATGTCTTTGATTACTTCTAAATATGGGGACTTGAACAAATCTCTCAGGATGGTATTAGGAGGTTCTTAAGAAACATAATACCAGACTGACCATAAGAAGCTGCTGAGCACAGATGTTATTATTCAGAGCAATATGAAACTTGGTGCTTTTAGTGGTGGGGGAAGATGATGCAGAGTAGTACAAGGAACAGGAATAGCCAATACAGCTTGCTTCTGGAGTACTGCCATTCACTGATCTGCTTGTGAATTTGCATATTATTAATTTCATTCTCCTTGGATGCAGATGTGAAATATTCCCATGGCTTTAAAACATAATGTGGACAGTGCTCTTAATTTATTTGCCTGGGTGCCACTGTTAAGATGCAGTTATTTGTCTAAAGTTGTAATTTTGTACATGCTTACACAGTGAGCTTGGGATTGTATCCTAAGGACATAGCAGCCCTACGTTCTCTTAGTATTGTGTTCTCATACCTACCAGAAATTACTGAGAACTGTTTTGCATCAAGCTATGTCACTTGGAGTTCCAAATAACTTATTTGGATAGAAAATAAATAATAGCAGTTAGTTATGGAATAACAGCAGCTGTACTGTTTGAATTACCATTTATAGCAACCAGATGGGAATCTTCTATATGTTACTTTTCTGTTTTTGTTTTTAGTTGCCTAGGTAGTAAAAAAAAATGCAATCATTCTCAATTATTTCAGTTTTTCTCTTTGTTCTGCATTGATGTTTTAATCTGCTTTTTATTAGCTTGTTTTTTTGGTGGAGTATCTAAAGCATCTTAGGCATAGGCAAACAAATCTTGTTATTTACACCTTAATCATTTTTACATGTTACTTCAAACAGTAGCAAGTATGAGATATGTGAGAAAGTTTGATAAACTTGGGGCCCGATGTGTGCATATACTGACATGTTTGTGAAGACTGAATGTCACATTTATGATTTTCTTCTGTAAGAGTTTGAGACATGTGAGTTTTTATATACATATGATAAGGACTTATACTGAATCCTTAGTGCATGGTTGGATGATATATGCAACTGAAAATCTGACTTCAGTAAAATTGAACTGTTCAGTTCTATGCATGCCTGCTCAATTGGACTTATGTAAGTGTACACTATACTATTTTGTCTTATCTTCTTGCATGTAAATACACTTCATTTTAATACTGGACTTTCTAGCTGTTACTCCTTCCCCCAAACAATTATATGAGCATTATCAGTGTCACAAACATATCAGGATAATGTAATGTGCTCATTTGATAACTTCATCCTGTAGTTAATTCAGCTGACACAAGAGATGTTAATGCCTTCAATTAAATTACTTTCCCTCTATACATGTGATATACCAAGAATATTATCAGCAAAATATTTTTCAAGTTTCAAGCAGTTAATCATTATACAAGGTATGAGGAATTAATTGCTGTGATAAGAGTGTGAGGCATTCCCTCTTGCTAGAAATGCCATGGCTAAAAAAAGCTTCCAAAGCATGCACTGAGAGCTGCATTTGTTTCTGAAAGTATTGCCAAGTTAGGCTGGTAAATCAGTTATAAATGTTACAACTGTGCTTACAAACAAAATGTTAATTAATATAAAAGGTTGGGGTTTGTAAATAACTACTGCTGGCTTTCAGGTGTGATTTTCCCCAAATTAGGCATGAATAGTTGAGAGTATGTAAAGCAAGTGGCAGGATCTAAGAGACCTTGATTAGTCTCAGAAAAGTTAAGACCAGTCTTGGCTAATAAGTGGATGGGTGCCATTAGAATCTCAGGAAGATGGGGAAGTTGAAAATATCCATGAAATATCCATAAAAGTAGCACTGGCAAATCACTTTCATATTGCTGCTAAGAAAACTACATGGATGTGTCTATGTAGTCATCAGGAATCAAACTCAATTCAAGGGAACCTTTCCCATTTTTAAGGGGGAATACAAGAGGCATAGGCAGGACTTTCAGGATGATAGTTCATGTCATACTTTATTCCAAGCCAATACACAAACTCTGTTTGCTGTCCAGACAAAAATGCTGAAATCAATCATATCTCTGATGGAGCCCTTCCTCTCAGAGTTACTAAATCTAGTCAGCTGAATTTCCTGATATGCCTAGTCTGTCCAGATGGGGAATTTTTAGCCTTTCTGTCAAGAGCTACTTCCTTCAGCCCAGACCTAAGCAAAAAGAGGTAAGAAGGTACAACAGAACTTCCTGCTCAAAACCTGGATATAAAGTTCTTAACAAACTGGATACTAATCCTGAAATACAAAGGGTAGTTACTGAACTGTGCAGGCTGGCATACAGATAGTCCTCATTTAACAACCATTCATTTAGTGATTGTTTGAAGTTACAATGGTGCTGAACAATGGGACTTACAACCAGTCCTCGCACTTACAACTGTCACAGCACCTCTGTAATCACATGATCACAATCCGGGTGCTTAGCAACCAGCTCACACTTACGATGATTTCAGTGTCCCAAGGTCACATGATCGCCATTTGTGATCTTCACAGCCAGCTTCCGGCAAGCAAAATCAATGGGGAACCATGTGATTCGCTTAATGGCTATGGTGATTCGCTTAATGACCACTGCAAAAAAGGTGATAAAATTGGGTGCAACTCGCTTAACAACCACCTGCTTAACAATGAATTTTCCTGCCCCTATTGTGGTCATTGAGCAAGGACTACCTGTATGGGGAAGGTTTTAATGAGAAATTCCCTTAGAAAATCAATGAAGCCAAATCTCTAGAAATTATTGGGAAAAGGGGGATGCAGTAAAACAATGAAAGGCAACAGTCATACCCAGAGTTGCAAATATTAAAATAGCCAGGCTAACTAAGCAAGGTACTTATTCCCTGCATTGCTTCAGCACATGCTCAAAGGTTATTGTAGAGGGAATAGCTGGAAAGAGATCAGTTAGATTCCTGATTGGCTGGTGCTAAGCAGGTCTTTCTTGCTCATCCTTTTCAGTTCCTCTCTTCTTGAGCATTTATCTCTAGGATAAGTAAGGCAGATTCTGAGAGACCTGGGAGAAACAAGGCTGAGTCTTGCCCTCTTTCATTCTTATATCATCATTATTATATACATCAACAATTTACGTTGTTTTATAACATAATGAAAAATGTGTCTCATGAATACCTTACAATCTTAAGTGTGATAGTAGAGACAAAACAGATGAATAGGTAATGGTAACAAAATATAAATATGGGCTACAATATTTATATTGCAAGATAAATTCGTAGTTGGGCTATAATCCTTTGTACACTGATTATGGAATTCAGTCCCACAATTTGGTCTAAATTGTGTCATAGTAAATATATTGTTAGGTTAGGGGAGAACAATAGCGTTAGCAATACTGTTTGGTAAAATAGGAAGGTTGTATGTTTTATTTGGTGGGACAACATGGGGATGGGGTTTTCAGAACAGATTTTCTTTTACCTGGAGCAAAGCAGACAGCTAGGAACTTCATTCAAATTCAGGTTCTCTACAGAGTTTTGTCCCTTTGAAGGGTAATCTTGTGGCAGCTGCTTTAAAAAGAAAAATCGCTGTTCATTTAAAATATTGGAACAGGGCAGAGTATTGAATTCAGTAACCAACAGATCTTTTCTCAAATCAGAGTCATTCTTTTGAACACATTACCACTGAAAGCATTTGGAGAACAAGGAGAAATTTGTAATGTTGTTATTTATTCCATTTCACTGTTCATTTTTATACTTCTTTCCCATAGCCCCTAACAAGAAAAAACATATGCAGAAAAGAGCATACCTCAGTCCTTATGAACAGTTCTTCCCTTTGCCCAAATCTTCTTTAGTGTATTACACAACATCTGGCATGTATGGATGACCCATTGAATAGTAACAGTTACTGCTTCAGAGTTTATCATATTCTGGCTCAAAATTTTTACTTTTCCCTATAATGATCTAGCTTTCCTACAAATCTTTCTCCATTCTGGTAAAAAATGAAGTTGTATCCACTGGGGGTTTTTCCATGCTAGATGATGGGAGAATAGAACTAGCTGCCAAAGGCTGATCTAGAGCATTTGTGCAGTCTTGTTTTCTTGGTTCACATTATGCTGAACTGCATGGTAGGCTATTTGATTCTGTTTTGGTGTGATGTGCAAATCATGGTTTGTGAACTCAGCCAGCTATTGCTTAAAAATATGCTTAAGAAGATCATACATTAGCAGCCATATACACCCAGCTTCTTTGAAACTTTCACTTTCCTTAGATATGGATGTTTCCATGCACCTTTTCCCTCTGATAGTGGTGGCATGCACTGCACCCTCATAACAGCACTGAGGTGGGTTGGAAAAAGAGGCAATGACTCACCCAACATCATAGCAAGCTGTGATTTGGAGCTAGGTGACAATTTGAATCTTGATCTCCTTGTGCAGGTCTGCTCTCTGTTCATCCATGTCAGGTAGGCTTCTGAACTTGGCAAAAGGCCTCATGTGGTGGGATAAATAAGGTTCACACAGTCCTATTAATCTAATACAGAGGAATGGTACATCATGCAAGCATAGTTAATAGCTATGTGTACAATAACCAAAGTCTGTATATTATTTGCAGAATAATTAAAGATTATAACCAAGATTACACAGCTGAAAATAGCAATTAAAATAAAAAAAAATGAGACCCACTGTTTTCCCTACAGTATTCTCCCATTGTCACCAACTGTGCCACTATTTCAGTATTGGACATGCTAACAGTATTTAATTCCAGAGGGACATCTCTTAAGAGGCTATAAAAATGTTCCCCAAAGCCATGCTGGCTGGGAATCCTGGGAGTTACAGGATTATCTGGAGGACATCAGATTGTTGTGCATCCTTCCACATTCTGAATTGCTTAGACATTTGAACAGACATTTGCAGGATTTCACTGTACATCCTTGTTTTATGTTTTCCTCCTATTTCCGTGAAAGACTTATCAGTTTTAACAGCATCCATGAGCTTCTGTGAATTAGAAGTCATTAAAAAAAAAATCAAGAGTCCCATTCCAATATGTTTAGGGGCTAATATAATTTGGAATTGCAGAATCGGAACTTCTAAAATTCGGCCACAACTTCCGTGCCTGTGAGCAAATAGAGCTGTAGAAGAAGCAATGGAGCGCAGACTGTTAACCTCCCCCACCGTTTAACAAGTTGTTGTAACCCTTTCTAGTGTTAATTCCAAGATTGGGCGGATACGACGGAAGTATTAAAATGAAAGCTTCAGAGAGGAAAGGTCCGGCCTGGGATATTTCATAAAACCTCATTTGTGTCAGAACAGGGCTATTACTGCTGCGTCGAGTGGAAAGTGTTTCCGAAAATTCAAGACAGCGATCGGTTTATCATGACTCAAAAAGTCCTGGAAAGCAACTCCGCTAAGGGCTGGAGAGAGAAAGGAATTAAAACGCACCACAGGCACCACGTGTTTGTTTTTCCTGGCGTCCACACGCGTTGCTCTCGGGGGCAGGAGGAGGGAGCAGTAGGAGCTCCAGATTACTGTATTGTGACTTCAGTACCCCCCAAGTCTTCGCCATCGCCTGTAGCTGTCCGGGCGCTTTCCCCACCCACAAGGGAAGGCGGCTGCGGGCGGGAGGCGTGCCGACATTCCAGCGACCCGGGAGCAGCCTCAGATGCCTGGCGAGCGACTGCCTGGTTGCTAGACGCCCGCTCTTCCTCTGGGAGCCTTGGGGGAGGAGCTTCTCAAGTTGGGCTTATCCTGCAGCTTTCTTAGTATTTTCTTTTTTTTTATGTCATTG